TATTGTTTTGCATTACCCAAAGCACAAGGGCTTCTATTGGCAGAGGAAGCAAATTGGCACAGTTCTGCTTTTTTTTTTTTTTTTTTAATCTGCACTGAGATCAAGGGCAAGGGCTTCATTTTCCAGCACTAGTCATAAGCCTTTAGCACAAATAGAATGAAAATTGTCTGTCGCTCAGGCAGTTGGACAGGGTTCAGGAAAACTATGTCTGGCACTAATTCCAAAGGGAAGGTTTGGTTCAATCCAGCATCATTAATTTCAGTAAACTGTTTTCACTAGTCTATATCCCACTGTTCAAGAGCTGTTTATTATCTTTTACTAAATAATGTCTTTTGGAGTACAGAGTAATCAAAAATACCTTATATGACTTACATATGTATGTATACATATAAATGGATACAGTATACATGGATGCACTCGCTTTTTTTTACTTTCCTCGTTTTTCTTAACAATTGCTTGTTTCTTACCTTGCCTTCCCATTACAAAACACATTTATAATGCCAAATATAAAATAATAAAAATAGCCCAGAAGGCAAAAGAGAGAGAGAGATGAAAAAAATCCTGGAGCAAAGACAATCTCCACAAATTTGTGAGTTTCACCACAAAATAAGGAAATGTAGTGCCTCTTTTTCAGCTTGCAGCTATGTTTGGCTGCCGCTTGAAGACTTGACTTAATTCACCCAGGCAGTAGTGTCTAAAAGTAATACACCAAGACAGTTAATTTTGGCACTTAGTCTCCCTTAGGAATTTTACCAACAGTCTTTGAAAAGAAAGTAAATGATCTTTTTTTTTCCTCTCAGTTTCCCCCCATAGCTCATCTCGATATGTGCTAATAAAAGAAACTGCCTCCCCCCTTCTGTTCTCACCCTTATCCTATGTCCATATCATCCTTCTTTCAATAACAATGTTAATCGGCATTTATAACATGGTCTTGGAGAAAAAGTGGTTTAGGTCTTTTCAGGTGGCCTAGTTACAGAGGAAAAGGAGGTTATGCCATGTGAAATAACTTAAGATTGCGCAGTTTCTTTTCCTTTCCTTTCCTTTCCTTCTCTTTCTTTCTTTCTTAACCTCCCCCCCCTCCTTCCCACCTCCCCCATTTTTTGGAAAACACAGTAAAGTTTTGTTCAGTTCTCAAGTGTTATTAATCACTGGTGGAGGCCAAAAGCAGGGATATTTTTCTTGGCAGCACGTTTTGATAAACAATCTGTGTATGGGGTGAAGGGAGGGGGGAGCCTGTCTTGCTGGTAACTAAGCTAATGTTTGGCAGATTCTTAACTGTCACGAAAGTGCAAGTGGCTCTCAGTGGGAATAACCTTAAAAAATGTACCGATTCAGTTGATTCATTATTGTTGATTGTTTACTACGTCCACAGGATGTAAGATGAAAACAGTCCAGGGACAAAGTAAAAATAACAACAGCGGAGGACCCAGCCTCTGCATATCCCAGCCTAAAACACGCTACCCAGTCGCTAGGCCCTTGCGGAGCGAGCAGAATTAATTATAGGTGTCTTATTTTGCACTGTAAGATTTGGCAAAGGTTAACGTGCGGAAATCTGGGCTCGCAGGCGGGTTTTAAAACCATAAAGACAGCTGTAGGAAAATCGATTTGGGGCGGGTCTCAAAGAGGAGCCCTAACTGCTTTCCGGGGCAGAAGCGAGAGGTTGCTGGGTCGGGGAGCTGCAGAGCTGGCGCAGCTGGACACGGGGG